CCACGAAACGTCCATGATGGGAACGTACTCTTGAGTAATAATACTATAGTGGAACGGTAAAGTAACCCACTCTGGAAAGTTCACTGTCAGTTCAGACCATGAAGTGATTCATGTACTGTAGAATTGATTGTGATTGTATTGCGATACCACGTGAATTTCCCCATCAAATCTGTGATTCGGTTAGTTCTAGCCAATCCTAACGTTAGACGGATTGTCGATATTTCTATCCCAACAAAACTGTGATATTCTATCTCATTAGGTCCCCACCAACAACACCCCGTGAGTACATCCCCCGGTGTTACAGTATTCTATGCTGAGGTAGATATCCTATGGCATGTCCAATTTCTCCCTGCTTCCGTAAACCAATACTAGTACTCCCGGAGTAAATTGTGATGCTGATCATCTGTACTACGGCAGTACAGCTGTCTGTAACTTAGTATGGTACACCTCGCAATCCACATCGACGGTTGCTAACACTGAGACAGTTCGACCAGATGCAAACACAGCTCTCCTCGTAATTGTGGATGGCATTTATAAAGGGGAAAACTTGTGCAACGTTAAATCTGGAGATTTGGAAGGCAATTTCAAGGACACCAAAGTCTGGAGGTGTGTGGAAGTCAATTTCAAGCATGCATCATCAGTATGTATGTATACTGTATTCTCACACACGACGGCTCTTCTTCGTCCATTCGACAAACGCCTTCACGCAGCCCCCGCGACTGCCTTTCCATTGACAAAGGAAACGGACGAATCAGGTCGTCGGAATTTCATCCAGTTTGCCCATTTTGTCACCTTGAAGATTCGGTTGCAAACGTTAAAACGTGGCGGTCACGGGCCGCGACCAATCGTATTTCACCTTGTATTCCTTCAACAATTAGTTGGTGGAATGCAAAAGACAACTGTACTGTATAGTTCTAGCGTCACCGCTGCTTTCCACGGAAGATTGCTCAAACAACCCTAGGCGTCCCATGACCGAGGCTTCTCGACGCTGGGAAACGACGTGACCACGGCACACTTGTGACTGTGATGGCTGCTTGCAGCACCAAGTCGTCTGTTCTTCGTTGCCCCCATTCTGTCATTTCCACATGTTGAGCAAACTTCAACTTTTGCGACACCGTTACAGCCATCCAACCACAGTGCTACGTCTACACTCACTCTGTACCCCGGCACCAGCGTCGAGTTGGTTGTTGCACATATATATCTGTCATTGTGCCTTTTGCCTCCTCAAGACAATGCAAAACCCTGGTCGCGATCAAGACCTGCAAGAGCGTGTGTCGTACATCCAGTCGGCCACGAAAGACGCAGCTGACAAGGACTACGATGCGGTCAAGACGCCTGGTGAGTTGGAAGATGGCGCGCTCGTCGAAGGCGGGGCCCTCAACCTCTTCTCCCGCGAAGCCTTCGGTCTCTTCACCCAGTACGCTGCCATCGGTGTCATCTACGGCATGATCCCCGCGCTCAACTACCCCATCTTCAACGTGTACTTGCAATTGGAAGGCTACCAGACCGCGTCGTACTCGACGCTAGTGACGTTGGGGTGGTCGTTCAAGGTGTTTATGGGCATGTTCTCGGACTGCTTCCCCATCCTGGGCTACCGCCGCAAGTCGTGGATGCTGATCGGGTGGACGGCCACGATGATCTGTCTGGCGATCATGACGTTTTCGTCGTTGGGCGACCCGTACTGCAACCGCGAGAAGGCGTCTGCGATAGGGTCCAAGGCGTGCTCCAAGCCGTACTCGAACGCGACGACCAAAGACCTGGACTTGTTCAACGTCAACGCCCCGGACAACGGCGGCTTGTTCATCATCCTGTCCATGTTTGTGTCATTGGGGTACGTCACGGCGGCGTGCGCGTCCGACGCGATGGTGGTGCAATATGCTCAGCGCGAGCCCATGGCCATCCGAGGCCGAGTGCAAACGGCCATTTACGTCGTGCGCACGCTCGCCAGTATCATTGCGCTGGTTGTGACAGGTTTTGGCTTGAACGGAGCCAACTACAACGGGTCGTTCTCGTTCTCGATGGCGCCCAACATTCCGTACGGCATCTGCTTGATTCCGTGCGTGATTGTGGTGCTGTCGACCATCTTCATCGTCCAAGAGACCAAGACCCCGGGCGTGCCCATCAGTGAGTGGGCCGGCAACTTTTGGGAGCTGCTCCAGAAGCGTGTGATGTGGCAGATTTGCGCGTTCCGGTTCATCAACAACATGTTTCAGAACATCGGGTCCACGGCCGGCAGCCCCATGTCAAGCATCTGGGCCGAGGTCGAGCCGTTGAACGACTCGCTGTCGTCGATCATCGGCAACGCCATCTTTTCGGGCATCCTCGTGTCCGTGGCCAAGTGGGGATTGCACTGGAACTGGCGGTGGACCATCGCCATCAGCTCCCTCGGTGTGATTCTCGTGGACGGGTTTGTCATCTTTGTGACCATCTGGGACGTTATTCGCAACCAGTGGTTCTTCACGGGCGTGGCGCTGGCGGACAACGTGCCCGGTGGCGTGCGCTTCATCGTGGCCACGTACTGCGCCGTGGAGATCGCCGATGTCGGCAACGAAGGCGCCACGTACGGCTTGGTCACGACCGTGTCCAACTTGGCGTCTCCGTTTGCATCTGTGATCTACAAGTACATTGACTCGTACTTTTTGCTGTCGCAGAACGACCTCATGACCGACACGACCGAAGTGCGGTGGGACGTCACGTACTCGTACTTTATCTCATACGGGAGCAAGTTGTTTGCGCTCACGTGGCTGTGGATGCTGCCTCCCCAGCGTGCTGAAATGCAAGAGCTCAAGAAGAAGGGCGGCAAGAGCCCGCTGGCCGGCATCGTGTTGATCGTACTGTTTGTCTCGTGCTTGTGTTTCTCGGTCACGTCCAGCATCATGTCCATCTTCCCGTCGACCAAGTGCTACCGTATCGCAGGGGGCAATGGCAAGTTGGATCCCGCGACTGGCGGGTGCCCTGCCGTCAAGAGCCGCAAGGGTTAAAACTCGGTCGAGTCCGAGTCACGGATGTTGTAGAGTAATCGTGTAATGATGTGTGCATGTATTTTGAAAGCGAGCATTCACTGGACTGCACCAAGCTGAATTGCAAGTATTACTGGTACCGGTATGCCACTGTCAGCTTTTGATTGAATCAATCGCTCAAACAAACCTGCTAACGATTGTCGAACGGCCACTGACATTGTACATGCAACTACTTTACAAGTTAGTACCGCGAAAAATGAGTTTTATTGTTGTTAAATTCAGTCCTGACACCAAAATCATCCTACGTTTATCCGAATTGACGTTATAAGGTAATTAGGTCCTTTAGTCCCAAGCGACTTGTAGTTTAACTCATCACCTTTATTAAAACGGATATCATAATTCTCAATACAAGTACATATCCAAATTTCAAATCCTAGTTGCCCGAATAAGATTCAGGTGATGATATCATTCAAATGAAGATATAAGTTAACCTGCTCGGATGGGATATCCAAGGGCTCGATGATCTCAATCAGAAGCAGTACGACAGTGTCGCGACGGCGCTTCTTGACAGTACCATAGACGAATCGTTCGATGGCCTCGGCAACAGTGTGACTGTTGCCGAGACTGGTAACTACACGCTTGTGGTCATACATGTATTTAGAATACCTGGTGCTATACTCCTTGGCTTGCGCCGAGTCGTGGCCTGATGATTCGAGAATGGTACTGTACTGGAGTACCACGTGCACCAGGCAAGTTATACGCGACAATTACAGTAACGGAACGTTAAACGATCAATTCTTGCCCTCATTTTGACCTCTTAGCTTTTTGGCATACATACCTCATGACGAAATGAAACATGGAAAAATATACAGGTATATAGTTGTAGAAGAAAGCTCTACCCAATAACCGCAAATTCGAGTATTCTTAGCGTAGCTTAGTTTAGCGGAACCAGTTGTTTGCCCCACTTTCATTTGATTTCAGTAAACATTTGAAGTGTGAGGAAACACCCTACTTTCATTTTCCATCATTTAGTTTTTTTACCATTTTGAAAATAACAATCTTGTCCATCAAATTCATCGTTACTAACGTTCTTACCACAGTAATTCCCTGACAGCATCAGTTCATCCATGTGTTCGTATTATATCCATGGGTATTTCCCAGGATCGTCCAACAATGTCCGAAATTTTGTCACGACGGGTATTTGGGAAATATTTGTATTCCAATTCGTCCAACTTGTTTTCATTGGCTAAAAGCACTGGAGTAAAACGAACTTGGCTACTTAAAACGCATGGCGTCTTATTCCTTGCACATTTTAGCAAGTCAACTGCCGATGGCGGCGCCAGGAACCGCTGGCGTGCTGTACAAGACGCTGGGAATCGAACCCAAGTCTCCTGTAAGCAGGCGCGATTCCATTACGCCACAACGTCTTGTTCGTGAACATATTACTATTGCGACCATCGTTCTTGTCACGCTTCTACCGCATACCGATGTTTCATGAGCTACAGAGTTAGTAGTTTGACCAACACGACACTGTAGACTTACCTCATCGGTCGATGCACAGGATTAGTGGAGGACCGGCAGCGGGTCCGCGGCAGATCGACGGTTGTAGGTAGCACAGCTAACGTTATGACACACATGAGCACTATGCTCTCATCAAAGCATTATGACCAAACTCATTGCTGCGCCCATGTGTCTTGTTCAGCACGCCAGCGGTTCTTGGCGCCGCCATCGCCAGTTGACCTGCTTAAAATGTGCAAGGAATATCGTATTCGCTGACATTTGCTACAAGGCATGATTATAAATAAGACGCCATGCGTTTTAAGTAGCCAAGTTCGTTTTACTCCAGTGCTTTTAGCGAATGAAAACAAGTTTGAATTGGAATAAACATATTTCCCAAATACCCCGTTTGGACGTGATATATTTCGGGCATTGTTGGACGATCGTGGGAAATACCCTTACCGGTATATCCATTTGGACCATTTGCGGCGGTTGTAGTGGTTGACTGATAATATATATTGACCAATTACAAATACGCATGAATATTATTATGCATTCTCATCGGATTCTTTTCCCATACTCATCCCATACTAGTACATTATGAGTCGTGACCATGGCCGTATTTCCCCCGGTTATGTGTACTTCAAGCCACCTGGAAGTGCATCAGATTCCATTTCTGCTCATTTTTGGCTGTAATGCACAAACCAAGCCCATCTAGCCATAATTTAGGGCTCGATTGTCATGAACACACCTTGCGGCGCTGTACACTCCTGCCTCTGCCCAAATCCTGCTGTTAATACTGCTCTTGCCAGGCATTACTACATTATTGTCATCATTTTTCAATTTCGCCGGCAATTCAACCATGCGGATCGTGCTCTCCTTTGTACTAGCGTCAGCGGTTCAAGCCGCAGTGTCGTGTGGGTTTGACACGTTCAACTACACTGAAACGACCATCGACAAGCTGCAAGACGCTATCGTCAGCAAGCAGCTCAGTGCCGAGGAAATCGTTCAGGTTGGTTTGGGTTTTAGAAGTTCATCGGTGAAGTACTAACTGGTGCCAATCATGCCCAGCATTATTTGGACGTGATTGATCAACTCAACCACAACGGCCCACAACTCAACGCTGTGATCGAGACGAGCCCCACCGCGTTGGCCCAGGCCATCGCCCAAGACCGCAATGGCACCCGCAGCGGCCTGCTCCACGGCATCCCCATCCTCATCAAGGACAACATCGCGACCACGGACGACGGCTTAACCGCGTGCGCCGGGTCATTTGCGATGGAGGGGAACATCGCCCCCCGCGACGCCTTCCTCGTCCAGAAACTCCGCGCGGCCGGGGCGATTGTCCTCGGGCATGCCAATATGGTTGAGTGGGCCAACTGGCGCACCCTCACGGAGTCGGTCGATTGGAGGTACCACCCTCCATTGCTGACGATGTTTCATACGAATTCGCCTCGTAGTGCTCGCGGTGGTATCACCAAGAATCCGTACGTGCTGACCGCGCGCACAACCGGTTCGTCGTCTGGCTCGGGCTCGACGGTGGCGGCCAACATGATTCCTGTTGCGATTGGCACGGAGACAGGTTTGTGGTAG